AAAATATGAGTATCCTAAAAACAACATATTAGTCAGCATTAGGGCCAAAACAAAAACAAAAACTGCATTTATAAGGCTTTTGCAGAAATGTAGATATTAAACCTCCTTAGTTGCATTTTAAACAGCATCACAGCATTTTCCAGACCATTTTCTTGATTAATGCAAATGACCTCCCTGTTCCCCTCTATGCATCACTGCCTCGGTAAAAGTACTTGGTCCTTTCTTTAGAATCAGAAGCATCAAAATGCCACGGTGCTCAGTTTTAAACCTGTGACTGTGTCATGACAAATGTGTCAAAGAGATTGGATGCGCACGCTAAGGATGCTGGGCCGCCAAGCTGTCAGACAGCATTCTGGTGGCATCAGCTGGGGGGCCGCCATTAGCTTAGCTGGAGTGGATGTTATGATCATAGGAATGGGAGTCTTGCTGTGTCATCAGCACATAGATATTTGGGTCACCACAACAAAGATGCATTTATTTGGGCACATCATTTAAAGGAAACATTTGAAAACCCAGCAGTTGCTTTCCATTCACGCAACAGGTTCAAACACATTTTTAAGGCAACACTGTCTTGACTTGTTATATCCTGGTGTCTGCTGGGGGTGAGTCAGGTGTGAGGTTAGATGAAAAGCACAGCATGGGGAAAGAAATATTTTGCTGACTGTAAAATGTATCCTTCAGCCAAGGCATGAGATTTAGTGGCACAAATTAAAACTCACTGCAAAAATAGTTTTCATTGCTAACGTTGTCTTTAAAAGGAAAATTCTCCATAAATATGGCAGGGATGTAACAATGATCATAAATATGAGCGGTGGGGTTAGTTAACGGCGCTCATTACATCACATTCTTTTCAGCTAAAAGCACTTGACTAACTGCCAGTTGGGTGCAAGGAAGAACTGTGGAAGAATAAAAGTCAATAAACACAATGAGGCTCCCCTCAGCTTCACTTAAAGCTAAACTGCGTCGTTTTTGGCATCACCTACTGGTAAATATACACAATGCATGTTTTCTTGGAGGGTAGTTTTGTCAAACATTGTTGACAAAAAAACAACCGATTGTTACAGAAGTTGTCCTGTACACGCTTTTCCTATTTTTTTCCTTGTTTCATGCCTGCCCTGAAGTGCTTTGGCGCCCCCTGTAGCCAGCCAGAGCGATTACAGAGGCCTATTTCAGAATTTGTAAATTAAAATAAATTCTGTTTTTTCGTACAAACACACAAAAACACAATTTTATTTCAACGTTCATGGGTTTTGTTGTCATTGTGAATAACATAAGTCTTGGAAAGCCCTGAGCTTTGTCTGACAATTTGTCTAATATAAATTTACGTCATCACAGAGCAGATGCTGCACTCATACGGTACAGTTCTCGTTAGTCCTGTTCTTTTTCACTGCCCTCTCTGCTACTTCTTCCTCTTATTCTCAAATCTCCATGGAGATCATTACAGCTGATGTAATTAAGTGTAATTTAATTCAAACTTAACCCCCGATGTGGTTCAGCTGTGTTAACGAAACTGCTGAGGTTAGCACTGCTGAGGTTAGCCACAGGAGGAATATACAGTACACGTTCGCCTTCGGTTCTTTAAAAAGGAAAAAAAAAAATAGGCTAATTAATTTTTTTAACTAAAATTTGGACTATTCTGATTACTCTGATTTGTTCTAGGCGAAAACAGAAGTCCATCAGGTTCACTACGCTCCTATCTTGCATGCTGCCCTCTATGGGTCGTATAAACTTTCTTGTTGTGTTTCGTCTCTCCAAAGTATTATATGAAGTACATTTAAATAAATATATAAAATATAAGATGCTTAAATATAAACATGTTCAATATTTCATGGTCTGCGAGCTCAGCACTAATATTGATGTAAAGTTTAATTAGCTTTTCTTTGATCGTGGAACACTTTCGATCTTCTTCAGCTGTGAAGTTATAGCTTCACAACAAGCACTCGTCGGTGCAAACAGACAAAAAAGTAAAACAAAAAGCTATATACTGTTCACCCTAATAAAAAATATGGTTTGTTTTACTTGATATCACTAAAAGATGTGTATTTATAAACACAATAAAATAATAAAAAGATAATAAATAACAAAAAAGAAAACCATCTATAGAATTCACTGGAAGGCTCTTCTCAGATGCAGCTGTTTTTTCCTTTTAAAGCTGCAATATATGTATAATAGATAAGGCGTTGCCTGTGGTGACAAATCCACAGAGAACCTGAGCTTCCTTGAACTGCAGCAAGGTTTTAGCTCGACTTGTTCCCTGAATGATATACTATTTTTCGAATTCCTTAAATCTCTGGTTTACATAATTATATGCATTCTGATTTTTCCTACCAAGCATCAAACATTTAAGAGTAAGTGTGAGCCGTAGATCACCAAACTGAAGCAGATATTTCCCCCTCACTCACAGTCATAACCACTTTTTTAGGCAATAATATATGTATATATGTTGTGTATTCAGCTTGTTCCACTGCACCCAAGGGTCCAAAATCTTAATTTAACGCTGCTTTAAAGCTACCATCTGCTGTTTTTTAAAACAGTTATTGAGCTTTAAAGCATTTTTCTTGATGAGTGGGACTTTTCACAACAACTGGAACCATTAATGTCATAAAACAAATGGCAGTGAGCTATCGATTTTATATTGCTTTATCACATATATATTTTAGTGAAAATCGCGATGGAGCCAGCTAACTCACTTTTTTTTTTTTAAATGTTGGTGTGGTTAAATGCATAGTCATAAACTGCAAAATGACAGGGAACTAATCCAGGTGTCAGGAACGTGAATTTGTCTGAACTTGTCCTGTCATTCGTGTTATCCTGAAAATGATTGACCATTAGAAGATGAATGAAGGATAAACATACTTCAAACAAATAAAAAAAAATCCAATTCTTTTTCCTTCTGTCACTGTCTTTTTAAATCATGCTGACAATTAGTTGAATGACAGGCCACACTGACACACATCAGCTTCATTCACTCCCTTTGTCTTTCATCTTCTCCGCGGTGTCACGGACTCACCTGACTTGACAAGGCCAGCATTAGGCCTGCACTCTCTGGGTGATTCATGTGCAGCTGCTGCTGTCATTCACACCACTGTCTTGGGGTTAGCAGAGCCGCAGGTTGGGCCTCATTGACATGAATCCTAGGATGTGTAATTGTGATTATTTATAGTTTACCTTCAGGATGGGTTGTCCTGCCACATGACCTTCGATCTCCAGCTGTGTTGTTGAGGGAATATTTTACTCTAGGTAATGTTCCTGAAGTGTAACTCCAACATGACCTCATCTTTCCTCCTGACTGTATGCTGGACTGTGATACTACCTTTTACTGCTGCAGGCTTATTACTCAGCCTGTGAAGGGAGGCTCTGGAAGAGTGGCTGTGGATGCAGTGGAAGGCTTTGTTTCTGCCATTCAGTAGGTTTACGGGTTGAATGTGTGCACGAAAGTGACATTTCACAGCTACTGTCCTGTTCTTTGAATTCACTCTCTTTATGCATTGTGTGGTTCAAGGATACGTTGTACATGTTTTATGTGCATGTCTTTGGTTGTGTGTGTGCTGTCTGTATGCCTGCGTGCATACTTACGCTAATTTCCTTTGACAGTGTGAAAGCTGTGACACTTGTAAAGATGCAGTGCAGCAACATTTGTTTTCGTCTCCTGTTTATCGATAACAACGCAGGCAATTGTCAAACATCTAGAGTGTTCGATTCAAAACAGTTCCAGACCTATTGTCTTGGATGATCTTACAGCTTACAGTAACTAATGATCTCACACCATTGTCCTTCATATTTCTCTAATGAGGTCAGCATCGGTACAAAGTGACTATCATTGAAACGAACAACAAGACCTCCACGTCTCCATGTAGGTTTGTAAATGTGCTAATTTTCATAGAATCCTATCTCGACTAAGGCTGCGGACAGCACTCCGGAGTTCAATCAATTGAAAACAAACAATATCACCGACTATGTTTTTTTAATTAGACCAGGAGGAAATGGAATCAGCTGTTACAGGCGGGAGAATGCTAATGAGTGAAGCCTTGAGATATATGAACATACCATAAATTATAGCAGTAAGTGGAGTGAGACACTTAACTTGGCTCAAATGCTCCCACGTTACTTGTTTCAAGGGTTGTTCATGGATTTAATACTGGCACACTGTATTAACTAATCCCCTAATAAGAAGCAGCATCATTTATATGGATATATATATTCTGTACTGTGATACAGATTCTCCTCGAGGTGTTGTTTGATTGGGTTTAAATCTTAGGATGCTAAAATTTGGCCACTAAAGAATGTGTACTGTAGTGCTTTAGTGCTGACAGTGGTTTTTATTCTCTTTATTTTCTTCTCCAAAATAAACTTTGATCTGATGACCATTACAACAACTGAAAAGATCTGCTCTAATGGGGCTCGCAGATGAGTTTGTTTGTCTAGCCTCAGCATCAAGAAGTCGAGTTAGTGCAAAAAAGGTTTCACTGGTTTTAAATATATATTGTTTGGAACAACCAGAAATGGGCATCTGGTGAAAAATTCAGATACAGTATCAAGGCAAGAACTTTGTTGCTCATTGTTGCAGACAGACAGGTTGAATCTGCATACAGCCAATACAGAAGTCCAGCCATATATTTCCTACTAAAGGGGCTCTTGCATTTTACCACTTCCTATTAATCTTCTGATATATATGTATATATATATATATATATACACACACATACGTATATATGTACACTTACTATATATAGCATATATATACTATATATAATATATAGTATATTCTGTGTAAATATACTACTACAGTAATCAATGACCATGTATGAATGTCTAATTGATTTGAATTATTTTTTACTATACTGTGTTTAAATTGGATTTGAATTCCGCTCCTTTCTGTGAATTTTATCATTTTTTGTTCGACAATTTAAAGGTGACAAGTGACACTCGCAATAAAAATACTTTTACTCTAGACTTTCAAGTAACGGGAAACAGGACCAGGACATTTCTATATTTATTTCTATATATTTCTAAGCTAAATAGCTAAATTGTAGATAAAGTACAAAATGAAAATAATAATAAAAAAAACTTTGTACTTAAGAACAGTGTCTGTAAATCTAAAAATGTAAAACACATTAATTGGTCAGAGTTTAATTGGCAGCATTATCCGTCAATGATGTGTACAAATCATCTCATATATGCACCTGGCAGTTTTCTCGCTGCATCGTAGCTGTGTGACACAGCGCCAGCAGCGGAGAGAATTGGAGGAGGTGGGGGTAAAGACGGAGTGAACACAGCGAGACAGGCACTCTAATCAGTGACGTGCTCACCAGCTTCGTGGACAGAGCCCTGGTGCTGGAAGAAGTGGAGAAGGAGAAGTGCACCGGGAGGACAGACTGCGTGAAAATCCAGGAGCAATAAAAAAACAAACAAACAAACCAAGAAACCACGAGGAAAAAGAGGCTGAACAAAAATGGGAGGAAGAGAAAGAGAGACAAAGAGGGAGACCACCGAGGGGAGAGAAGTCATTCAGAGCAGTGAGTGAAAAAGAAGCTGGAAACTGACAAGGGCGCTGAGGAAGGAAAGCAAACGGCCAAGTCTGCACCGAAGGAGGACAGAACCGTGGACAAACTGAAAAAGAAAGACAAGAAGGAGCAAGAAGAAGACAAGGAGGCTGACAGGAGGTTGAGATAAGGAAGATTGACTGCTGTCAAAGCTAAGAAAAGGAGGAGGATAAGAGCACAAGGGCAACTTTGATGAATTTTATTCCGGAGTCTCTTGAAAAGGAATAAAAATGAAAGGATAGGAATTCACATTTAAGACGCTGTCCTCCAGGAGAGGGGGACGCACAGCACGAGAGAAAGGAAAAGAAGAGAGGGGAAACAGCAGAATGATGAAAGAGGAGGAATGTTGAGCGTGACACAACAGATTATCTGTGGTAAGGTTTCCCGCAGGAGTGTCCGTGTGTGCATGTCTGCGCCTCCTGCTTCGCATGAAAGTGAATTCTAGCGTGTCGCGCACTGTTGCTGTGCTGCTGTAAGGCTCGGCCGCTACGTAATGAAGCCAGCTCTTGTTTATCTGCAGGACCTTATAACTGTGTGTAATGTGGCAAGAGGGACGAGGGCGAACCAGCCGAGGGAGACGTGGATGCAAAAGTGAGACTGCAAAGTGGGACAAGCAAATGAGCAGGAGTTCCTGTGGAATGTCTGTTCAACCTCGGACTTAGCGATTACTGTTGTGATCACAGTTCAAACACAAGGCTGACCAAACTTTAATGGCCCTACAACATTTCTGTCCTTCGGTGGTGTTCTTGCTGATGTTTTGTATTCCATCCTCTCTCTCCTCCTTCCTGCTCCACTTGCTGATGCTCTGCATCTCTCATCCCCTCTTGTTTGCTCTTACACTGACCGTGGAGAATGCTGAAGGTGCTCATGTAAAAGCCACACTCCCTGGAGCACATTTCCCTATCGGAATGTTCGCCTGTTCTCCCATTTAGTTGAATGATTGTGTTACCACATCGAGAGAGCAGAGAGCATTCACCAACAAGTAGCTGTTAATCAGAGCCGACTTTAAAACACACTGCTTCCCACAAGAGTACTACAGGGCACTAGAGAGTGCAGTGCTGTGGTCCAGACTCTGTGGCTCAATAACACTCTCTGAGTTATAAACAAATATCCTGGTGTGGATTACCGTAGTGGATTTATCCTGGAGCTACATGTGGGCCCCATCCCCAGGGGCCTGGCTGGGAAATGAAGCCTTTCCCGTGGCTGTAGGAGTCCTCTCGGCAGCTATGGCCCTAGAAGGGCGCTGTCTCCGAAGTGGATCGCCGGCTATGATCAGAAAGGGCTGTCGGCAGCATCCTAGAAAGCCAACTTTGGCCCGGGTCACTTCTTCTCTACTTTCAAGGACACGTCTTCATGGCCTGAGGCATGTTTGCGTCCCCGGTGGCTCAATGGGCCGCAGGGCGTTCTGGCTCCTTGCCCTCTGCACCTCTGTAGGACTTCTCTTATCCTGGTCCTCAAACCGCCTCCTCTACTGGCTTTCTTTTCCGACATACACGCGAGTCCACACCGAGTGGGCTAAGGAACTGGCTTTCCCCTCGGTCACTATCTGTAACAACAACCCCATACGCCTGTACAAACTTACTAAGAGTGATTTGTATTTCGCCGGCCACTGGTTGGGCCTGCTGTTAGCTAACCGGACCGTGAAGCCTATGGTCCTGGACCTTCTTCAGGACGACCGCCGCGCGTGGTTCAGGAAGCTTACAGATTTCCGGCTCTTCCTCCCTCCCAGAGACTTTGAGGGAACCAACCTGGAGTTTATGGACAGACTCAGCCACCAGCTGGATGACATGCTTCTCTACTGCAAATACAAGGGAGAGCCCTGTGGAGCACACAACTTCACTTCTGTAAGTCTGCTCTAACTCACGCAACACTCAATTATTATTATTTTTTATTGTTAGTCATCTCTCAAACATATACTGAAGTATATATACTTACAGGGGTCACTTGAAAGTTTAGAAGTAGGCATTTGGGGTTCGTGGAGTTTCTAATTACTCAAAAGACCCTGGTATTACAGCACCTTCAAACAGGTATGACATGTATGTTTTTATTAATAGATTGTTAAATTGTTTTAGGTTGATTTGTCAATTATTAAGATTATTAATCATGGAGTAAACAGTAGGTACCATAAAAAACTATACTTCAGTGTATTGTGAATGAAATAAACATGTTTTTTATTCACTCACAAATTGTGGGTGGGGCTCGAGCCAATCCCAGCCGTCATCTGGTGAGGGCAGAGTTCACCCTGGACAGTTGGCCTGTGTCAAAACCTAATCTTTAAGTGTTTTCAACTCAGCCAGGAAGCTGGTAAAACCACAAACAGAGAATTATGGGTAACATGGTGGCACCTTATTCCTGTAGAGGAATAACTGGTTGGATGGAGAACATGAAAACTTCGTACAGACAGGCCTGAGGTCACACCCATGAACTAGTGATTTTTTCGGCTGTAATCTGAGAGCTGAATTTTTTGTTTTTAATATTTTTCAAGTGATTGGTTAAGTACTTATGTTGGCTCTTGGCTAATCTAGTAGTTAATTATCTGCTGACCACAACCGTAGCCTGTCTGCTGATTAAAACTGCAAATACTCTAAGTTCCATCATGGTAAAATTTAGTATTTTGTTTTATTTACTCTACCGTTAAAGCTTTCCGTCAGTGTACACTGTATATAAACAGTAACCAATTTGAACTTCTTCTTAGACTTAGACACAAAACAAAGCAGCCACTAACATCGACTTCTAAAGCTGCAGCCTGGCTCTGGTACAATTAAATCCAGGATTTGTGTAACAAGGATAAGACTTAGAAATAATGTCGATACATAAATGAAATAAAGCCCAACTTACATCACTTCAAGTGCTCTTTTCTAGCCCCCCCAGAGATGTTTATCCCACCTCTATGTCTGATCTCTCATATCTTTCTCATTTTCTGTATGGATGGTTTTGAATTTGCTTTGGTTTGGGGATTTGTGTTCCCGCTCTTGCTTGTGCGCTCCCTCAGCATGACTGAACCGCGGCAGATGTTTTCTCCGTGGTAAGCTGAATAAGCTAAAAGTCCCTTAAACTTTTTTTTTTTTTTTTGAATCTCTTTTCCACTTGCTACTGTGAACGCATCAAAACCTTAAGAAAATGATTCACTTAATAAAACATAACATACGTGCAGTGCTGTTTCACACCCAGGTTGGGACGTTAAATTTATTTCAACCCCTCCTATGTTGTTTCAGTGTCAGTCTTGTCTGCCTGGGAAAAGATGATAAATAATGGATTTGAAGCCATTTTCTGGGGATTTATGGAGACCGAGTTAGATATTTTTTTCTGTGAAACACAGAGATCCCGGCCTCGGCTGAAGCTTATACTCGTATACCCTTTTATTCTTAGCACTAATTATATTTGAAAGTTTTGCCCTTTAAGGCATTCAGTCCATGTTCATGCTACTAGAGCACAACAAAAAATTTCACCCATCAGACAAATGGTGTTTCGTCTTTGAAACAGCCAAAATACATGTTTCACAACTACAGTACCAGACAGATGTCTAGACTAGGAGACCCAAACACAGCCTTAAACCATTATGTTTCAGGGAAAAAGAGCTTTGCTCTTACATAAGTAGCAATTGTTACCAAGCAAAACCACAAAAAATAAAGAATTATGACATCTCTGTCTATTTTGTGGATTTTTCCACGAACCACTTCTGAACTGTTGTCTGTTCATTATCCAGCTTGTATTTTAGTCTCTCAAAATAATTGCTCTAGTGAAATGAACATATTTTTCTCTTTCATTTCTTCAAATTTACTCCGAAACTCAGACTTAAACACATTAATTCCTACAAAACTGCTTACAGTACAAAGGAAATATAATTACAATGTATTTTTTTCACAAAAAAAGAAAAAAAAAACTCCTGACTGCACTCCCGTGTATTGAACATTTCTACACCCCTTAGGGTGGCACGCCCCTCACTTTGGGAACCTCGCTTGCAATCTGTTGTTTGTGTTATATACTTGTACTTTATTTACCTACTGTATTTACCAGTACATGGTACTTCATCTGCTTCTGTACATCTAAGCTTAACATTCCATCTGTGACAATACCTCAGAACACGTGTCTCTCAGCCTTTCATGACACTGGTTGCTGAAATATGTTTTCACTAAGTGAAATCCTTTGGCAGTAAGTTGAAGGACGATGATTTAATCTGGTATCCGTGGTGGATGAGAGTGTTTGTTATGTATAGGTATACTGTGTATATTCCAGAGAGCTGAGCTGTTATTTCAAAGATTATACTGTAGGTGAAATGTGTACTGGGAAACGTTCATAGTCCTGAATTAATATCTGGACTGAACATTGTGTTTCAGTGGATTAAGCTGCTTAAAATAAACGGTGGAACTGTGTACAGTGGAACTGTGCAAACCTTGAACAATCTATTGATATGGAATGTAATTCTGAAGGGGCTGCAGGACAGAGTAGTCACAGCAGCGCTGTGTATATAGACTGAGTTTACTCACACTCTTAAGGAGTCGATCTTCAGCTGAAGATGTCGTTGTCACCCTTACGTCCAGGTCAAAGTTACATGGTTTTTTTTCATTTTACTTCACCCCACAGGACCTAATGTCTTTAACAGGCCGTCAGTGGCTTTCGCTAATTGCATTAGCCGGCTGCTGCAAGCCAGCAAGGACTCCCAGAGGCCTATTCATTATCACTGCATTTACGGCACTGTCACTCCGAGACTGAAACGACTGAAAGAATCAGATTAAATGGACCGAACTGCTCACATACATACACCTGTGTAGCTTTTGTAGTAATATACCTTAGAAATCTATTTTGACTTATTTAGGATTTACACATTTTATTATTGCATAATAATGTATTATACTATATACTATAAACTAAGAACATAGTATAAATTGTCAATTTTTGGTGTGGTTTTTTTTTTTTTGTTTGTTTGTTTTTGTTTTGATGGTTTCATTCGTTACAATTTCATTCATCTCTCACCAAAGGGCACACCTTTCTTTATGCCAAAATCAAAGCCCATGATAGAGCAATAGTCTTTGAAGAACGCCTTAACAAGACTGGAGGCCCACTGAGGAGGTGAAGCTGGTGCCTGTGATTATTTCCAATTAATACTTAAGGTGCGAGTTCATCACAACAGTTCTCACACACCGAAACTGTTCTACATAATGTGTCTGATTCAGATTTGATTTTTATAGATTTCATGTGTTGCTGTGCACGGTGAGTCATTTATTTTTTTTAAAGATTATTTCCATGAACACCAGTAAAGTTATTTTCCTACATTTTAAATGTCTGTTGTGCTAAGTGGTTTGCCTGCTGCTTAGCGTTACATGTCAACACCACTTCTTTTCAGCTGGTAACACCAGTGAACACAAAATGATATGCCAAAAACAAACAAATTACTTTAGAGAAAACCTTTAATTTACACAGCAAACATGAATGTGGAAACTGTGAAAATACCTCACCTAATATAATGGCTTTTTCCTGGATTTACAGTGTAAATTTACAGTGTAAATCCAGGAAACACATTTCTAGCATGTTTTATTTCAATACACAATTAATCCTACAACAAAGCCTCCAGTAATTCTTAGAAAAAACTCTGAAAAAACAGTTTTACTTTGCCCTCCAGTACAGTGGTTTTAATTAGGCTTAGTACAGAGGATTCTTGAAACACTCAGGTATATATGTGCTTTGCGGTAGGAAGAAGACAGGTACGGCTACAGGTTCAGTGTGAGGGATGGAATAGTGAAAGGACATGTGGCAGGTCTGGTGTGGAATACAAATGCATCCCATAATTCTTGTTGGCTGCCTGTAGCAGTGGCATTTGGTGTATGGAATCCACTGTAACATAGTGAATTGGAAACAGTGAAACGCTGGCCAATCAATACATCTATTAGGTTTGCGGTGTGGTTTATGGTGGACTATTTTGTTACCACGTCTCGGGCGCTCATATACTCTGAACTGTCCCACAGCTGCTGTAGTTCTGTTGTAACAGTTGAGGCTGACGAAGCAGGAGACAGAGTATCAAAGACCAGGGAAAATGTTCCAAGAGGTCTCAATAAAACTTAAGTGATACCTTATCGCGGCCCGGCAACCCAGGCCTGTTCCTCTGGAGCTGATACACATCTGCACTAACTTTTTTAGAGCTCAATCACAACCTAGACGACTGAGCCTGCAATGACAAATTAAAAAGTGCTTAGAGTGGAAGTGTGTCTCACTATCAGAGTCCTGGCAGGAGATTAAAAAAGGTGGAGCTATCTGCCCTCCTGCTGCTGCAATGTGTTGACTTGGAGAGAAATTTCATATCTGTAGAGCTGAGGCAACGGTGAATCACATTCAAGTGATAGATGTGGCTGAACATTTTGGTTCACGTGTGATTGTTGAATCATAGACTGTATATAGGTCAGGAGCTAGAACAGGCAGCATGCAAGTTCACTGACTTCTCCTTAGATTGCATTTCTTAACAAATTTATGAGAGATGGCGACATAACCACGAAACACCGTAAGTCGAGGACGTCTTAAACCGAGGAGCCCCTGTATATGTGTAACTGTATGGCATAATAAGATTCGAGGCTTATTTATTTGGTCTGAGAGTTTTCATCTGGAAATAGAATGACATCTATATTTTTCATTTTTATTCGAATTGCTCACGATCCACCAGCTTCCCTTTGGTATCTAATGGTAGCCCACAGTTTATGCAACTTCAAAGGTTAATGGAATAAACACAAGACTTTGTTTTTATAGCTTTTAAATGGAACCAGCACAGGTGTTTGACCAAAAACAACTCTCAGCATTAGTCACCGTCTGCTCACAGTGTCTTTTTGGTCCTTTCCTGTTTCTACATTTCCATCTC